TTTCTGCACAGGCCTCTCTATACTTTGGGAACATTATGTTGCTATGGGACAACACCCTTAAGATTTTCAGAAGCCCCCCCGCCCCCTTTTTTTTTCTAGCTGAGAGGGAAATCTACCAGGTACTGTCTTAAATATTTCTGAGGTCATAAAAGATCCCACAGGCATTCCTGACTTGACCTTCAGCCTGAGGTCATTTTTTACTTTGAGAATCTTGTGCCAGCTGGGGAGGCTGGGAATGAGAAATAGTTCTATTTTCAAATTCAGAAAGTTTGAAACACCTTCTTTAGCTCATCTCTCTTTTATAGTTCATTAGCATAAACAACCAGAAGCAGTCAACAGATACTTTCAACACTTTGTCTAGAGAGCTTCTTCACTAGGTCCACAAGTTCATTAAATACATTCTCTATTTTCCAGGTTTCCTCAGGCAATTGCTCCATCATCACAGAACATGGGTTATCTTTTTTTCAGACTCTAATAACAATGATTACAGTTATTGCCTTTCTAGCCTTCACCAACAGTGTGTTCACCATTCCTCCACCTTTCATCAACAACCTTCTCACCACTTTTCCAGCCTCTACGTTTGAGCCAGTCTCAAAGCCAATGTCACATATTTTACTTTTTTGTGTTATGACAGTATTACACATTTAGGTACCAATTTCTATATCACTTATCCATCAAAGCCTAAGAAGCCACCCAAATTTTAGTGAATTAGGACACTGGCTGTTTTATTTTACTTGCTCACAACAATTTGAGCTGTGCACAGTTGGGCAATTCTTCTGCTGGTCTTGGCCTGGAGCCACTCATGCAGCTGTAGTCACCTGGCAACTTGACTGAGGTTAGATGTTCTAATATGGCCTCTCTTACATGTCTCAAATGTGCTGCTGACTGTCAGCAAGTAGGTTTAGGGAGCCTCAGATGGAACAACTCATCTCAGTTTCATGTGGCCTCTCTTTCTCCAGAAGACTAGACTGGGCTCCTCACGTGGCAGTCTGAGGCTCATTTTCAAGAGGGCAGAAACTATAAGGCCATTTGAGGTTTAGGCTTCAAGACCTGTGCACCATTTCTGCCACATTCTATTGGTCAAAACAAGCCACAGGTTTTTCAAAATTCAAAGGTTGTAAAGTGGTGTGTATACATGGATGAGAGGAGTTATTATGGTCTTCTTTGCAAATAATCTCTCACACGCATGCTCTTTTCTGTATTTTCCGTCCTTTTATCTCTTCATGCTTCAGTCTGAATTTTCTTCTGACCTATCTTCCAGTCACTAATTCTCTCTTCAACTGCATCTACTATGCTATTGAACTCTACTGACTTCTTAGTTTTAGTTATTGCATTTTCAGTTCTAGATTTTTCATTTGTTTCTTCTTTATGGTTTCCAGTTTTCTGCCAATCTTATCAATCTAATCCTTAATTTCCTTGAATTCATTTAGTATTGTGAAAGTTCTTGTTAATAGATCCATTATCTAAACCCTCTGTGGATCTGTTTCTACTGATTTATTTTTCTTGATTTTTCAAATCATGTAATTTAATATGCTGCTTATTCTTAACTGGCTGCTTGATAATGCATTTGAAAATTAATAGAAATAATTTGAGGTTCTAGATGTTATCTTTCTCTGGAGAGAATTGATATTTGCTTCCTGCTGGTGGCTAGGAACACTAGCAATCCTAGAACACATTGCTTGCATCAAGGGCTGAGTGTTTTGAAGCTGAGATTTAGTCCCTGTGAGGGTTGGTCTATTTCTAGTTCATTCTTACTCCTAAGGTATAATCCCTGCAAGATCCCAAACTAAAATTTGGGAGAATTCCCAGGGCACTCCACTCAGCAAGCCCTAAAGTCTAAGTTTTGTCCTTTTAGTCTTGTAAGACTGTTGAAAACTCTAGTGGGTTTCTCCACTGCTTCTTCTGAAACTAGAAGATATCTCTAGGGAAAATATGGCCTCAAATGCCAGGTTTACCTCTTTGGGTTTCCTTCTTTTTCTATACCTTAGCCCATAACTCTTCACTGCCTTCAAAGGTCTCTAATACCTTACAACAGCTTTT